TACAAATATTATACTTTTCTCGTTTTAATATCATATATTTGCTTGTGTATTATTAATGTAATATGGTAAATTTGAATAAATTTGATTGCAAATTCGCGTTGGTTTAATTTTTAAATTATTCATGTGCAATATTTTTGTTATGTGTCTTAAATCTACTTACATCACGTGGCAATTCAACTTTAAATGTATTGTACATCTATCAATTGTTTTTCTCTATTATAGAACTAATATATAATAATCTAATATAACTATTCGCTATTATTAATTCCGTTGCAAAGTACGTGTGTTAATATATGTATACAACAAAATGGATTTATCAATGGAAAATGAATATTTATTTTGTTGTAAGTACTTTTATAATATGTAATACTTTTGGTCCGAAAACAATCTTAACTCTAAACATTCTGTAATTTTTTTTATAAATTACGATAAATGTATACAGATAACAATGGTAATACATTTTTAAAAACAAATATTTCCAAAAGATAAGTAGGTGCTAGGTATTTGTTGTTTATCGAGATAAAATATTAATCTCTTAATTTTGGATAAGACAATTCTTAAAAAAAAAAAACTATATGTTAGGCCAATGGCCATCGTCGCCGCGATCTTCAACCTAATTAAAAAAAAAAGAATTCTTAAAAAATAGTACCAATTTTTATAATAGACCAATTAAAAAAAATAATAATAAAATAAAACAAACTATATAAAAAATAAGATTAGATTTTTTTTAATTAGGATAAAATAAATATTCCCAGATTAAAAGTTATTTAAAGGTTAGCAAGACTATTTATTACGACTACTATTCAACACTTATTCGATTTAAGTATTTACGCTGTACATAGATGTAGCCAAATACAAACACAAATAATAAATTTAGACTCCTCAAATTTATGTTTTCAGTTATTAATTAGAGAATTAAGGACCTGAATAATCTCAGTTACCCCAAAAGGAAAATTTCAGTAACATTTTTAAGGTTTCTTTTTTAATAATATGTTATATTTCATTTTAATCAATTATTGAAGACTAGATGATATATAAATATATCATAGAAAATAATTTCTTTTTTAAATTCCAGTAACTTTAATTAGAAAATTATTGATTAATAATATTTTATCTATAGATGGCTTCATATTCAGATTTTTGACAATGAGTTGTACTGAGTTTTATTTTTCATTAGATCATATAGATTCCATAAATTATACTTTACATGAAACATAAGATTAAAAAAATATGCATATCTTATAACATACTTGATTTTAAAGAATATTACATTTTATTATTAGTCAACTCAGTTTTATACAAACATCAACCTTTTTTTTAATAAAAACTTAAAGAAATTCTCTGATGTAAAAAAATGTGATTCCAATGAATTACTATCGTCGTAAAAAAATTGTAAGAATAGATAGCTAATGTTAGTTTCTTCTCCCCCAGCGAACATTAAAAACAACCCTTAATTATTTTTAGGGCCCTGCAGCAACTTTTCGACACGCAATCATGCTTGCAAATATAGGTACATTATTATATTTTTGTATAATAAATGTAAGTGAAGAAAGTATTGTTTTTATTTACACATTGAATATCTTAAGGTTTATGAAAAAATTTTAAAAATAATGACTACTAATAATTTATATTTTTATACGTTCATTAATATAATTTTATATTAAATCGATTACTGAATATAGGCGTAGTACTGTTGTAAAAATTCAAAATAATTATATCAACTTCGTGTTAAATTTATATTTTAAAACAGAATACAATACTAATTCTTTTTTGTATTACATAAAATATATCAAATCTTATTTAAAGTTATTTCTAAAAATACATTTATTTATATCCAATAAAATTTAAGAATTCATTTTAACACCGATCATAAATGTGAATATTCATATAAATATATGCAAGTATATATATGCGATAAATGTAAACAGATAACTATTGATTTTAATGATTGTAAAACACTTTTAACATTTTTAATGATTGTTTTTTGTTTATAGGTTATATAATAAGGCAATTTAATTAAATTTTATTTGGAAATTTGTTATTGAAATTAGGGTAGAAATCAAATAAATGAGTTTATGTCGATAGTTTATTATTACAAACAACCATACTTTAAAATATTTTGATAAGTATTACCATAGGTTATCTGAAATTTATATTAAAAATATTATGAAAGGTTTTTTCATTTAGGTTTTTATAAACACTTTTTATAAACGCCAGTTTTTATAAACACTTCTCATTATAATTAAACCTTCTCGATCACCTTTGAGAATTATTGTATTATTATTTTTACTATAGGTAGTATTATGTAAGCTTAAAAGTAATAATTAAATTACCATGCAATACAAATTTAGACTTGAATAAAACGGAAATAATAATCTCCAACTTCGGTGCTAGGTATTTAAGTTTCATTATGTTTTTAAATTTATCATTTATAATTAAGTACTGTTAGTTATTTTATTTTAATCTAAGTAAATATCTAACTAATAAATCTAAATAATTTGTTATTAGTAAAAAAAAAATTAAATCGATTATACAGAAATATTTTTATTTATATTTTAATATTTTATCCAACTGTTGATGATAATCAGTTACTGAATAATCATATATATATAGATAGCTGTAAATGAAATAAAGATCCATGAACAGTCAGATGAATTGATGTTACGAGTATGTTTATTGAACCCACCAATATATTATATAACAAATTCTATTCAGTACTATTAGAATATTATGATTGTAAAAAATGTCCAATTATTAAAAACAATTACTATAAAAATTATTCTTGTGATTTATGTACGATTGAAAGTCAACAACCACTAAACAATTTCGAGTATTTACGCATGCGAGATCTTCACATTGTATAATATATACACGAGACCATGCAACTTAGTAAAATAATGATTTTAGTTTTTATCCATTTTATTTTATAGTGAGTAGGTACTGTAGATTATATTTTCACCGAGTTTTTACAGAATAAAAAAAAGTTGTATATAGCTACTTAATAATTGTTTAAAGCTAACTATAGCTGAAAACTTTCATCTGATGTTCTATAATGTCAATTATAATATTTTATTCGTTTTTATATCAGTCATCCGTTCGGAGTGGAATAGCACAAAAGACAGCATAATATGCATTTATAACTGTACTCTGTAGTTGCATGCCTATTCGACAGTTAACCATTTCTATTCAGTTACAATTTCCACATTTTTTATTATCCCAACCGTCTTCACTAACTTCAATTACACTATTCTCCTTCATCAATTATTAATTCTTTCCCGTCCGTTGTTCGTCCTACATTATCTCATGCCCCAATTCCATTCGTCAGTAAAGAAATCTTTTTTTCATTTAGTCCCTTGCACCCCAAAACTTACAAGTTCCCGCGTCTTATCAAACATAACATTAAACAGTATAAATACACTGTCTGTGTAGAGAATACAATATTATATCCTTTCGTATAGTTCTCGAAATCGTTTAATCATCATGGTCTACTCTTTTCGGTTGTAATTTATTTAAGGTTAATACTTGAGAGAATAATGTGAGTATAAAATACATGGCGCTTAAAAATATACACAGGCTAAATGGAAATTTAACGGCTCTCCCTAACTTCAGTCTGATTTTAAACATTTAATCCGATTATAAATTCGTATATAAAATAGTCTAAATAAGTTTAAATAAGTGAATAGTCTGTTCAGTTATCAGCTCCACCGTTCAAATATAATTTAAATTTAGTATGTGGTTTTACGCCATTACAATTAATTATATAACATTTTCGAAGTCCGATTTTATACTCGATGTGTATTGAAATGTATGATAGATTTACAGTGAGAAATATTCACAAAATCTATCACACTCAATAACCAATCTATACCACTCATATTATTACACTATTAATCTTCAATAATTTTTCATTACGTATGGGCCATGAAAATAATTGAATTTCATTAGATACTATAATTTTAAGTGCGTCGAGCATATAATGTAACTGATATTTAAACCGTGGCCGAGAATTGAGAAACATTCGTGCTGTTTACTAAACATCCGCATTCGAATTCTTCTGAAAAATGCTGTAGTTGAATAATAAAGTAATCACTGTTAAATAATATTATTTTAGAACGAGGAAAGGTGTTTAACGTCCATATCTATCAACGTTTATATTTCGGCGACCGCGCCTTTATACAAACAGTGCACTGACATTTGAACACGGAAATTAATTTTTTCCCGTATACTCGTTCGGGTGGCTACTTATATGCATTCGAGCCAACAAGTGTCAAAGGTTGTCTGTCGTTTTCATTCGTTTTTTACCCTCTCACCGCAGCAGCGGCGAACCACTTATTCGGCAAGAATAATAATAATAATAATAATAATGATGTTATTTACGACGTCACCGAGTGAGCCGAGTATATTTGTATAAATAATAATAACGGTGTTTGTGAAAAGGGTCGGGGGCGCGACGGAAAGCCGTGAGAAAACACATGCGTCGCCGTCTCATTGTTGTCGCAACTCGCCAAGACGTGGAAAAAAAATCACGTCTGCCGCCGTCGCGCCCGTACGCGGAGTCGACGAGAACGCGTGTGCGTCGTCGTCTGGTCGACGCGTTTGGACGCGAAAAAATCCGAACGGAAAACGATCGCGATCGAAACACAAAAGCCCAACGCTGGGCCGCCATCGGCCGGTTAATCGTTCGGGGCGGCCAAATAAATGAAAATAATAAAAATAATAATAATAGTAATAATAATATATCCCTGCGACGAAACTGTACTGGTGGCGGTGGCTGGCCGGTGCTGCCGTTGCGGAGACGAAGGCGATGGACAGGGCGTGGCGGCGTGGCAGCGGCGGTGGTCGAACGTTAGTCAAGGATGGTGCGCAGTGCGCATGCGCGCCGGGTTAGCGTCACTCTTGACCAACGCGATACCCGGCTGCACCAACGCTCTACCCGTGCTCTGGCCGCCGCCGCTCGTCATTCGTGCATTCGAAGTCGCGTCCTTTTCCTGCCGGTACGTGGTTACGAATTTTTTCGTTATTTAAAGTATTCTCTGTTAATGCTTTTTTTTGTTCTTCCACAATAATTTTTCTACATTGCTTGCTGTCATTTAGCCAACATTTTCGAGCACTCCTCGTGAAAGACCCGTGCGTTTTAACGACCATTTCTCATTTTAAATGCTCATTTTATTTCGTTCACACGTATTTTAGCTTGCGTTTGTTGTTTGCTGCTTGTATGTGTGTTTGCGTGTCTTTGTACGCGTGTATGCTTGTGTTGAGCTGCTATCGCCGGTCACCGTTAATTATAATTTTTGAATAAAGTGGTTATTTTTTTTATTTTTATTCTGCATAGAGTTACTGTTGCCACTACATATCGTATAGACAGTAGTGCGTGTACACCACCGCCACCCCAGCAGAAGACGACGCACAACGCATCCGACGTCTACGATAACAGCGATTTTGAAATCAACCGGAAACATGACGACGGCGACTACGGAAGAGACGAAAAACGTTCCACAGGACGTTAAAGAACCGGTAAAAGACGCAGCGGACACTGCAGTTGAGACCAATAACAAACAGGAAAACGACAAGAAGCCCGCGGCAGAGAAAGAGGAAAAGGAAGCGGCGCCGGCTGCCCCGGTTGAACCACCACAACCAAAGTTCTCTGTGAAAAAACAGAGTTTCGAAAAGGACGTTGTCTACCTGTATCAGTTTTCACGCACGCCCGTTATTCCGTCTATGTCCCCGTATTGCCTCAAAGTGGAGACATGGCTCAGACTGGCTGGACTTAAATACGAGGTGAGTGCCGTATTATTTATGATGTGATTCCTTTAAATGATCTGCTCATTAATTCATATATGAACCCCTTTGCCTAACCCATAACATTTTAAATCATAACTAAGTTTTGGATCCATCCGTTACATTTATTATTTGTATTTTCAGTCGACTATTTTTGATATATTTATTATATTGTTACAATATGATTATTGATTTCCAATCTACTTGTCAATTTTTGATTTCTAAGTAATGACTAGACACAATTCACTGTACTGTTTAGCGCATTTGTTGTTCACCAACTATTATGGTTTTTATTTGATATTTTTGACAATGACTTGGACAGAGTTCCTTTTTATATACCATGTTAAATCTTTAAACAACTTATGGTGAAATGTTATTTATTACTTAATTTTATATCTAAAACTGAATTTTATTTTTTGTTTGAGTCTCAGATAAATAACATTCAATTTTGTTTTATCATGATAAAATTACTACTTAAAACATGATGATTTGAATGCACGTACATTAAGTTAAATACCAGTTAATTGATAAATATTACTTAAAAGTTTAATCATTCTGTGTTATCTTCATAGTAATACTTATTACTTTAAATAATTTTTATTGGAAAATTATGAAATTTAATTCATAACTAGTTTTATGCAGAATTACTGTTAAAACATTTAATTATTTGGTGTCTATTTAAGTGTTTGAGAAATTATAAAACCCAACATTATTATTATACTATGAGAACTTGGTATTGTTCTTACTGAATTTCAATGTTTTCTGCTTCTCTAATTACTACAAAGATAACATAAATTATTATTTATATGAATGAAAACAACAGTAATTATTATTTTGTTACCTAACTGTTTTTATGTTTTATTATTTGAAATATTTGTAGGTTTCAAATTTTCAACCAATGTTATTCTATTTTGGCTTAATTATATTTTATTAACTTAATATTATTGGATGAACATGTTTAAATGTTGGTTTTTCATTAAAAATGTCTTCTAACATTTTAATGATGCCAAAACTATTAAAAATTATAATCAGTATTAAAATACAAATTGGTGATTTTGATGTTTTTTTCTTCAAGTGAATTTATGCAGTTAATTTAAAATTCACTGAAGACATACATTTTATCAGTTATTCAGGTTTAATATTTTAATTGTTTGGAAGTAGTTATATCCTGTATATAAAAGAAATGTTATAATTAGTTTTGCTAATCTTAAAAAATAGTTTATTTACTCTTTATTTTTATAGTTCCATATACTTTTCATATTTTGTTATCAAAGCCCCTACTAATTTTTTAATCTATTTTAATTATTTGTTATCTAAAATGTCAAATTTTAGCATAATAATACTTATAAATCATAGTAATCTTTGTAAAAGATTTTGGTAGAACTAATTAAATATGTACTAGATAAAAACAAGAAAATTGTAATTGCCAAGAAATTGGACTATAACCTTTGAATATTAAAACTGATGGCCTAAGAGAGTCAGCCATTTTGACACATTTCATGAATCTAATACACTTACAGTATGGTTAAAAAAAATTAAGATCAAAATTGATTAAAAAAAAATTAAGTTATTAATTATATTAAATAGGTAGTAATTTTTAACATTGAAGTAATAATCAAGTATATTAAATTAGTATATTGACTTCAAATCCATATATATTTTCAACAATAAAATGTATTAAGACTAAAGTCTATTTAAATAGAATGTTTACATTATAATATGTATTTTATTGTATTTACTATTGCCTATTAATTAAATTAATATATTTATGTTTTTTTTTAGTCTTATCTGAACTACTATATATTTTTTTAAATAATCTTTCCCTCCTTTGTAACTAATTATCATTATTTTATTTTATAATATTTATTTATATATGCTTTTACATTTTGGAATTAGAAAATTCTAAAAAATTGTAGATATTGCAACTTATGACTAATGAAATTGTATTATTTTCTTTCTAATAATATGCATTCTAATTTCTTTTCAAATTGTGTTTCAATTTTTTTAAATTAAGATAGTAAAATATAATGTAATTTTAATGGTTTTAAAGTTTTTAAGTTTTATGTGAAATCGTATCTTTTAAAACAATTTATGTTTATAACGCGAATCTATCATCAATGTTGCCATTATATGACTAAAACTAGGTTTATTGCAAATAATTTCTTGATGGTATCTAAAATTGACTTTTTAATTGGACAACTTCCTGCTTGCATGTATTTAAATACTTATAATATTTTAATCAACCATGAGATATAAAGTCGTAAAATGGTTTATATATCTTAAATAATTCAACAAGAACTCATGAGAACAATATAATATTAATTTTCCACGTGTGCTCACAGTTGCACGTGTTTTTTCTTCCCAAGAAATGAGTTATCGTGTGTACCATGAGTGTTATCTCATGGTTCTTTATATTTTTATTCTGCTGACTATTATTATCAAAAAAAATTATTATTGTTAGGTATTCAAAATTGAAAGAAGCGTGTGTCACAACATTAAATAAAAAAAAATATATAATTGTTTTCATTACATTTATTTTTTATAGACAACTCTAATATTTTACTTATTGACTGATGTTGATATTTTAATCTTTTTAACTTTCTAGTTTTATAATGTAATGTTTAAAATTTTAGTTAACGAAATTCGACTACTTTTAAGCTTTTGATCTTTATTATTCATTTTCAATAATGAATCATTATCTCTAGCAATTTGAACTTGTTGATATATTTGAACACTATACAAATTCGACCAATATTATATTTTATTTGGTTCTAACATTAATGCTTGGTGGTTTTTACGTTGAAAAAGACGTTTAATCTGTGCATCATATTTCCTTGTATTTTTGACTTCAGTGTCTTGAACGCAGATAGTTGAAATTTAATGCCCGATAAAACCTGTTTGCCATATTGTATTTGATATCGATTTGTAATAAAAGCAATAACTGAAAATAAATACGATGGTAAGTAATAATGAACGTATCGTTTTCGGAAATTAATTTCATTACCAAACTTTTGAAATAGTTATGTAATATACGATAACACTATTATCGGTAAGAGAGTATAGTCGCATGTACAAAACGCTGGCAATAAGTGTTTTATATTTTACTTTAATGAAAATATTTGTTGCAATTTTTCCTATTTTATAAAGAATATTTAGCAGGTATACATAAATATATATTTATTATGTATTACACGCTTTCACTGTAACTGAAACGTTTTAACAAGTAGAAATCCGGTGAAATCATTACGGCGTGTTACTACAATACGCATTTTCCTTAGAGAAGAATCCCATTTGTGGAGATGTGAGAAAGGAACGGGAAATTGAATTTTATATCTATGACTGTGTTAATAAACATCATCGTCATTGTATCCTTCGAGAAATCCCAGATAACTCTATTATTATTTTTTTCGTTTTAGACTAATCGTCATTACTTTGTCCCCTGTTATCGATGAAATTAAACGCTCCATAAGTGTATTAATTTAAAATATTACACGTTATATGTACGTATATAATATATTTACATAATGCACAACATTTCTTATCGATGTAAACAACCTTATACCAATAATTCATGCCCCACCTATCTACGCGCTTTAGTGGCACATCATTGCATCAGAAGGAAACAAATTAAATTTATTAAATTATTATCATAACAATTTTTTTTTACGTTAAAATTATGAGTGTAATAGAAATAGTTCATGTATGTAATAATATATAAGATGTATTACGTATTATACAGGGTGTTCGATGTTTATTCGATAACGGCTTATTTTTTTCACCAGTTCATATTTCGATTGATATGTTCCTACATCCATAGGACGACGATAACCAGCAATCCAGGTGCACGCTGTTATATTTTTCTCAAGGCTCATTCTCCATGTTTTTAGTATTATTCTTGACGCGTTCACTTACACTCATATAGCAGCGCATTGCTGCACAATAGTGCATTGTGTGTATATATCGTTTACACAATCGGATAGCGTCTCGAAGATATTTTACGCATTATCGAAATGTACTTAGCGTTATTATTATTATAAATATAAGAGTGGTGCAATAATTCTGCATTAAAGCCCTGTGCACACGACTGATTACATTTCATCGCGCGTGTGCATTTCATCGGTGATGTATGAAACATGTTAGTCGACTGGTACGAATTCGTAGCGACGACGCCTATTTCTGCACAAAGACCTTTCTTAGATATTCAATATTAATTTTGGTATTAAAATATTTTTTTTATCCTTTTTAAAAAAAAATTTGGAAAATACACATCATTTACTTCTAGGAGGTAGAATTTCGGATTTTTCTCGGTAGTGTCAGCATTTGAATTCTTAACTAATACAATTTTTTCATAATTTTGAGCCACTCGACTACGATAGAAATGAACAGAACATTCTAAGTGTTCGGTAATGTTTTGAAATTAAATTTTCGGTAATAAAAAAAAAAAAAAATGATTATTTCATAATATAAATTTTACTACACATGCATCAATATTTTCTGTTATGTAATTTTGAAGGTGTGCTGCTATGTTTTATAATTTTTTCTTTTAACTCATCAACCTTAATATTTAATCAATTTTCGTTTTGAAGTATTTTAATGGAAATTTTGTATTTAAAAAAAGTTAACGTATATCAACGTACTTAAAGATTGTCAGTTAGACGTTGATAACGTATTTTAAATTATATTCTCGAATATATGTGCCTTTATACACCTTCATCTTAATTGATTACCCTCCTTCTTTCAAAGTTTTTTTATAATATAATATATTACAATATTATAATAGTAGTGCATTTTTATTTCTACACATTACGATTTGCGTCACCGTTTTGTATCGTATGTACATATGTTTATAGTACCGAATGAGTCACACTACACGAACGCCCCCACTCGTGTTGAATGACCAGTGATTATGACATAATTTCGCCGCATGTCACCCCCTTAAATAATCAAAAGGACTCGTGTCACTTGAGTTTTTTATAGTTACACGACTATTTTCTGTACGGACCTGACAATAATTATATTAGATGTTTATTGGTGTACCTACTGTGCACACATGCATGAGTGCGACTATCGTCGAGACATATCAATTTGGGTTCACTTTGCTCACATCCTTATTAAAAAGAATTATAAACGGCTATCTTTTGCTACTACCGACAAAAATTAATGGTATTCGTCGTGTGTCGATTTTAACAATCGTAATAATATCGTATACAATTTCAAATATATTGTATTATTATTACTATTACGATCTGCTCACGTTTATTGTAAGTGTATATATGTGAGCAGTGAGCTTACACCAGGAAGCTAGTGAGAAGAAGTACCCGATGACTGTACGACGCGTCATTAATCGTCAATAATGATTATATTATTCCGCACCTTATTCCCTCCTAGTACTTCCTCTAACGGCTCTCAGACTTTTAACACTCATCGTATTATACTCAACGCGCCGTATATGCGTTTTATTATAATCATTGATCAATTAAATAATTTCTTTAATATAATATTTCTCCCCATTATTAAAAAAAAAATCATCTTAGATCGTGTAGCACTAACTGGCTTTTGTTTGACACAACTCGATGGGAAATGTTTCACAGTAGTTGTACTTGTTGGGCTATTAATATCGTTACCAATTTTATCCAAATGTCGATATTCAATCATATTTTTTTTATTCTTAAGTCCGCCTTAGCGACATTTTTCTGGCACACCATACGTTAGTATATATTCTTATAATTGTTATTCTGGAAAATGCGTTCATTTTAAACGCCTTTTCTGTAGATTTCCATCAATAGAAGCATGTTAAAGAAATATTATGACGAGAGAGGGGCTTTATATTATACGGGTGTCCATGCGAGGCCTGTGGAATGTGCGTCGTTCTATTGTACGAGATGATACTTGTGTATTGCTCCCACCATTCCGGAATGTTGACCTCATTATAACACGATCATAATTATTTTAATAATGTATATATAGATTCGAAGACGGCGTGCGTTTATAAATAATTTGAACTCTATTGAATAATCATCGAGTCTAAAGTCCAAATAGATTGCCGGAAACGCACACGCTTGCTAATGCCAGCTTGGTGATTATTTTCCCCTCTCCACATCGTCAAAGTGATTGCGCGCTCATGTGATTGAATTAGTAAATACATTCCACAGATAACGTGGGTGTATCGCTAATTCTCGTCTCGCTTTGCTTTTTGATTCTGACCGGGATTACTTTAAGTGTTAAAAAATGGCGTAATATTAGACGGAGAAACAAAAAAAATTGTCATACCATTACTGTTTTATGTTGAATTAAAAAAAAATTAAAAATTAAAATTAAAAAAATTAAAAATATATTCCTAACTAAGGTTCTGCTGAGCAAGGGCTGGCGTAAATGCCTGTGAGTATCGTGTGTGTGTGTGTTAATGGTGAAGAGATCAATAACACAGTTGTCGCCGTCTGAACCATAAACTCCTCCCCAGCCGCCCTACCCTGCGCCGACGCCGTTGCTATGACGACCGCCTGTGGTATCTCTCAGCTTGGAAGTTCAATAAACCCGGCAGTGGCATATAAGGGATTTTCTCGTACTATTGCATGTAGTTCTCGGGCGTCGCTCCCTTTGTATGACATAATTATGCAACAGGGTGTATTTTATTTTTGAAATTCAGCAGTTGCTGCTATTGTTGTCCAAAACTACATTTAATAATTAAACCTCAAACAGAGCAATTAAAAAAATGTATAAAACCATTTTTTTATTCCGACTATATGAGAAAACTGGTCATTTTCATAACATGAAGGGGGAGATAGACAAAGTTATTGATTTCTTACTTTTTTTTCACAATTAAACTTTCATTTAATTATAAATATTCAAAATACTTTTGCCATATTTTATAATGATAAAAATGGTGTGTTATGTTCCTAACTAATGAAAGATATTTGTCGGTGTTGCTGAATAAAAAATTAAAAAAGCTTTATCTATTGAGTATGAAAAATAATGTTAACTTGCATGCATATTAATACATCAAATTCGAGTTATGATACTTGTCGAAAGTGGTTATTTCTAGTGAGAGATTCATACGTCATTAGTCGTTTTGTACAGAACGCTAGTTGTTCATGTATATTTGGTCACTTGGTTAGTCGTTTGTTATTTCGTCATGGTCCGTTGCTACTGAATAAAACGCGGTTCTTTGGGTTCTTAACTTCAATTTAGAATTATAGAAAATTCCTATTTTTTTTTATTTGCCTCATGTGCATCCAATAATACTTTTGTTATTACTTAAATAATCACGTCTGGTTGTTGTCCCAAATAAACTCTTTCTTGGTAGTAAAAATCTTCATTCTAATAGTTATCAATACTTTTCTCTACAAATATAATAAATATTAGTTTTAACTGTTCTAAAAATGATTTATAATATACTTAAAAAACTTATTAGAAATTATATTAGAAATGACGTGCATTTATGTCAATAAAATGTAAATAAATTAATGTACACAGCCTGTTAAACTAACACAAATATTATAACCATTATTATATTATGTTCATGTTTTATTAGTTGCTAATTTTTTATATTTTTTTTTAATATTTAGAATGTTGACCATAAAATGAAGCATCGTTCCAAAAAAGGACAATTGCCTTTTATTGAATTGAATGGTGAAGAAATTGCTGATAGTACTCTAATTATTAAAGAACTTAGCCAAAAATTCGGCAAAGACATCGATGCTGCATTAACTCAAGATCAACGTAACATATCACATGCTATGATCTCAATGATTGAGAATAAGCTCGTTTGGTATGTCTCATTATGATATGTTATTTTTATGTTCTTATTATTTATTATTATGTGATTATGTTATTTTTATATTTTTTAGGGTAATAATGTGGTGGAAGACAAAAACTCCTGAAAATGTAATCAAAGGATACAAAGTGAATTTGCAACATGCACTTGGTACATGGGTTCCAAATGGTATTCTTAATTTCTTCTTCAAGTACACTTATAGCCGAAGAGTAAATATTCTAAAATTTCTATGGTAATAATTAAATGTTCTATGTAAATTAAAGTTTTGTTTTCATAGGGATTAAAAAAAGTTAAAGCTCAAGGAATCGGAGTTCACAAGCCTGATGAGATTTTGGAATTTGGACAAAATGATCTTAAAGTTTTGTCCGATGTATTAGGCGATAAATTATACTTCTTTGGAAATGAACCCACAACTGTAATTAATATATTTAATTAACATAATGCATTTTTATAATTTATTTATTTATTTTTTAGTTGGATGTTGTTGCTTTTGCAAACTTGGCACAGTTGTACTTCTTAGACAAAGAAGTTGAATGCCAATTACGAGATTATTTAGTGGACAATTTTGAAAATTTAATACAGCACACAAACCGCATTAAAGAAAGGTGTTTCCCTGACTGGGATGATATGTGTAAGAATCTAGACTTAAACAGTCATTTGCCAAAACCCCCACCAGTTGAAGATAAGCCTAAAGAAGATGGAGACAAGAAGGCCACTGAGAACAAAACTAATGAAAAAGAAGTCAAGGAGCCTGAAGAGAAAGTGAGTAAAAACTATTTTCATTAGCCTATATTATAATTTTTTATTTAGTATTTATAATATCAATATATATTATATTATAAAATATTGTTGCTTAATTTGCATGTGATTATAATACTATAACATTATACATTCAATATATTTTGTAGGGTGATGGAAAGAAGGAAGGAGAGAAAGAACCAGAAGACAAGTGAGCGATATTTGTGCTGGTTATAACGAAACAGTCTCATCACCATCATTTTAAATTAAGCGATTTCACCAACACTTTCGACCCACCATTATACTATTGACTAAAAAAAAAAAAATCATACAATATATTATATTTATAAGTTACGTAAATGTTATGTATAACTTACATAATTAATAACCATGATTCCAATTTTTTTTTTATAAACTTTGATTTTTTTGTATTTGTGAACCAGAAATTATATATACTTGCATTGTAAAACAAATTTGTTTGATAAAATTTGACTCCCATCAAAACAATAATAATTATAATAAAAATGTTTTGAAAATATAAAAAATTAAATTATATACAATTTATTACTGGGAGACAAAAGTTAAAGAAGCTCAGGTATTAATGCATAACTCATAAGTATAATAATTATAGTGAATTATCCATTTTATTTAAGTGTTAAGAATGTGTTTGTTTGGGCCTACGCTTTAATTGAAATGGGGACCAGACAAATCGGACCTCGGTTAAAAATTCCGCTTAGCTATACATATATGACATTTTATTATTATTTTTTTAATTAAAGAAAATCCATTATTTCCTATTTCGGTGACAATATCCTCTCTGTATGATGTAAATTTTTCTACCATTTATATAATTTTATACATATTATTATATATATTTTATGTTTTTAAGTGTATAAATTAACTTTATTATTTAAGTGAAAAAAAAATGAGCAAGAACAATTCTACTGCGTTTTCCACCCATTTTGTTTTTGTTCATGCAACAATATATACTTTTCCCCCTTAGGCTTTTCGGCATATCTCGAATAGCCGAACTAACTTGTAATCAATTCTTATAGCATATTCATGTTCTCGAAATAAACTAATCTCTTATCATTATATATAAACACGTATATAATAACTATATACTATTAATATTGATTTTTTTTTATATTTATTTTATACTTTTACTACTATCATCCAAGTGTAATGGGAAGAATCTCGTTTGTATGATTTTTTTTATAATTTTATTAAGCCTTTAAGAATAAAACTGCAAAATATTTAAATCTTGTGTGTATATGTATTCTTTTATATCAGTCACTTCAAGAAATACTCCCATCTCTGCATTAATCCAAAAAAAATTATAGAGTACGGTCTGGTTGAAATACTTATTATGTGTGCAAATTAAACAGTAAAACAACCGATTTAATCAATTTATGTGTAATATTTAATTGTGTTGAAAGCTAAAAAAAACCGCTGTACATTTGTCGTAACAATTAGTCCTGTATAATTTTTTGTTATTTTTATGTGTTGGCATTGTAAATAGGTAAATATCATAAACCATAATTAGATGTGCGTTTCCAAAGAATCCTTTTACATGTGCCACTACCACAAAAGACGATTTGGCAAAAATGCTGATACAGGGAATAAATTTATTACGAATTCGTTTTGAATAGTTAACGAATAAGAATAGTGCATATTTTTTCAATATTACGAGAGGAAAGCCCAGTCGGACGGCAATTGCCGTACAGAATAATGTAGTAACCGCAATATCATACGTCATTTAATTTCCCATCAAAGGTGGCCGTTCGATTTTCAGTATTTCATACATAATTCAATGTACAAAATGTGACTGGTAGAAACATTTTTGTATGTTGACGATGTAATGATTGTGTATGTACTTGGTTAGATGTAAAATCACAGATTTTCCATTTTCCACCTTTGGTATTGATAGAACATTTATACATTAATTTAATTTCGCCCAACCCCTTCTTTCCTCAAAAATGATCGACTATTTCGGCCTAATCTATTATTTTATTGGGAAGTAACAGGCTGTAGTATATCCGCTGCACAGATGATCTTTTCATTTTTATTATTATATTACGCGCGCTGAAGTTTTTGCTATAACATCAAATAGTCACCAACCCGTAACCTTTTTCCGTTGTACTATATAATTTACATGGTATATCGCTCTTGTTACCATTTCGCAGGAAACACAGTATTGGAAACTGTTGGCAGGGGTGTGCTAGAGGTGTGTGTGCACCGGGTGCCAAAAGCTTTTTCATAAAAGTAATATTACTGAAAGTAAACTATATTATTTAACACGTTTAACGCGATGGTATCGACGCGTAATCGACATCATTAACATTATCTCAGTGCTCGACTTTGAGGGGGACGGAGTACCCCTTCTAATTTTTAGAAATTTTAGCGTTCCCCTACTATTAATACGTTATAATTAGAACGCTTAACAAGTTTTAGGGACGCAATTTTTTGTAAGCAAACAGAGTCCCCCTTTTTTAATTTTGCCAAATCAAGCACTGCATTATCTTGATCGGCGGTGTTGCTAGTTCATTTTTAGTATTAGTATTTATTTTTGCCCCGAAATCGGCGAGATGACAAATTAACAACAATATACCATTTATATTCTATTGTTATTTGATATAATTAATTTAATAACATGAACGAACATCGACTTGATCGCGTTGTACGATTTTATTTTAAACCCGTCTATGATAGATAGTTTTCACATTATAGTTCATGAACGCAGAAGTTGCTAAGGTACCCAATTATTTTTTATTGGTAATTATTTAAAAACATAAGTTATTTTTTGTGCAACCCAATAAATTTAATTCGTAAATAAATTATACCGGTTTAGAATAATAATAGTTTTATAATTTATTATTTGATTATTAAGGATTTGGATAGAGTAAGATCGTTGAATCATAATTTTTATGGTAAAACGGGAACTATAGATTTAAATCTAGAGGCGAAATTTCAGGGTAACTTGTTCAATTAGGTGGACCAGGGTGAGAAAACATGGCGCCAAATTATCAGTTAGAGTTATATTACTTATATTATTCTTTAGTCGTTGATTATTTGTTATATTAATTTAATAAATACAAAATAAGTAGTTGTATAAAAACCTCTATCCTTAAGTAATCTTCTTGTAGTTTAAGCTTAACTATAATTATATGGTTCAAAAATATTTTGTAGAGGAGTCAAGGCGTTAAAATTTATTTTTGGCACTAAACGCTAATTATGATAAGCATGGTACTGATTGTTTGATCGGGTGCAATGATTTTCGCTTTGCCAGAATTCTCGTCCGTATAAACTAACGAACTTGTCTTGAATTTGGAAAAAAATTCAAACGTAGTAGTAGTGTAACACGTATGAAATATCAGTATTATGTCGAGAATTATTAGATCATTTCATGACAGGCATTATTGGTTAGTGATTTGCTCAATAAGTAAAAAAAATTGTAATCATATATGAATTTTATTGTTGAAATAAGTATTAACCATAGTGTGATAAATATGTATATATATAAAGAACTAACTTATAATTATTTAATATTTAATTTATGATTAATTTAAACAACTTATAATAATTATGAATGAATTTATATTATTATTATGTTATCTCATAATAAATAATGCTTTCTTTCTAAAGTGACGTTGAATTAATATTGATAATATTCGTTTCCGATTGGTATAAGTAATACCATAATATGCGGAGTAGGTACACATTACTCTTTAGATACGTATAAAAAATGTATATAATAAATTAACGATAATGCTAACGAACGTGTGTTGAATCCATAAAATATCCGTTGTTGCACGGGTTTGTGTTGTAACATCGTATGCTAATGATAACTGAGATAGTGGGCACCGAACAAGTCGTATACCTATCCTGTACCTAGTTTGTGATTTATCGCGTTCTTATTTTATAAATAACTGTCTAAAAAAAGCATATTTGCTTATAATTAAATTTAAGAAATCATCATATTACTATTACATTTATAATAACCACTAGGGTTGTGCGGTTATTTTATATAATCGATTGATCGCTTATTTTCTATTCTTTATAAATAATTAGCATAATCGAAAAGACCAATAGGTCGATCGTTAATTGACTTTGATTATAATTGAGATTATTTATAAGTTATATAATTGAAAGATATTTTTCGAATATATTATAAATATAAAATGTTCAATTAGCAATCACGGACTCATCGCGGATATTCATAGTTTAAATGTCTCTTTTATCACGGTTAAAATGATACTTAATGCTTAAGGTTCCATGGCTTTGTTTAAACATGGGAAAGGAATGCTTTGTTCAATATTCACAAGAATATACACATAAATGTTGATAATATTATTTCTAAATTTGGAAAAATAAAACAAAGAAGATTAAATTTTGTTATTTAATTTTAAGAATTAACAATTTCATATATTCATAACGTTCTAATTTGAATTAATAATTTACTTTTATTATTTTGTAATTGTGTATTATCTTTTTATACTTTCGAAAAAATGACCCCCCTTCAAATTTGAGTTCTAGATCCACACCTGACTCCTCAACCTACTCTCCGCGATCTTACAGTGCAAGTCTTACAAACGGCATTATGAACTGGGACCAATTTTGTGAAAGTATCGACCAAAACATAAATCTAAAGACCCCAAACGACATCGATGATGCTGTCCAAAAATTCACCGAAATCATTCAAACAGCAGCATGGAAATCATTATTAATGCCTCCCAAATGCCAAGCAAATTCCCTAACAGTTCCCACTCATATTCGTGAGCTAATCACGCAAAAACGTCATGCTAGGGCTCGATGGCAACACACTAGACTTCCTTCTGACAAAAGCATTTACAACAATCTCACCTCTTCTCTTAAACGCATCCTAAACAAACTTAGGAACGATTCCTTCAACGAATGGATCTCGTCTCTCACCACAAAGGACGGCTCTCTGTGGAGAGCCACACGAATTTGCCTTAAGCAAAGGTCTCCACAATCCCCCCTAAAAAATATCAATGGAAATTGGTGTAAATCTGATCTGGGAAAAGCAAAAACCTTTCGATCTCATCTCTCGGATGTTTTCCAACCCCATCAAAATATTGACAATCAAAATTTCTCCAATCACATAGAAAGCTCTCTTACATCTTACATCTTACATCTTACAGCTCACTTCCGATATACCTTGCCCCTAAACCATTCACTCCAGATTAAATCCAACACCTTATAAAATCTTTCCCCCTCAAAAAAGCACTAATACATCTCACTCACATACTAAATTCTATCCTAAGACTTACCTATTTCCCTCTTCACTGGAAAGTATCAGTTATAATCCTA